ACAATATGTGACAATAGGAACCGCTGAAACCTTCTGCAAGGTTTTGGCAATGTACCGTCATTCGTTTACCTTCTTCTTGGGGTTCTTTGGATATCACATTCATGCTCACATCTGATACCACCCATAACACACTTGACATAGGAACACGCAAAATGCCTTGTCAACTTGATCGGCCCACAGGTCGCATTGTTGCGTATTTGGTCGGTGGGTCAAAGTTCATATCCCATGGGTGCCAGATGAAATGATTACAAAAGCATTTAGTATATATAATGAAGGAAGAATCAGTCATGGGTAATGAGGACCATCACCGTCCTTGTTGATGTTGATATAGATGCCCATTCAAAACGATATGACTTGTGTCGGCTATATAATGTGCCTTTAACCGGTGATGACCATTTTGAGCAAGAATCCGCGCCATCACCAGACAGTTCACACGGTCAGTAATACATTGTAGTGTTGACTACAAAAAACGCTAACAGAAGACTACAAACCCTGGACAAAGTCTTCAAAATCCCAGACCGTGGGAAGCCATCAATTTTCGTGGGAGAAAGGCTAAATTCTGCGTTAGAACGCTGAAAAAATCCTTGAGATACAGGGTAATAAACGAGTCTCTTCGTAAACTCAGAGGACTCGTAAAATGTGTTGTACGTCGTAAATGTTTTCAATCACGGTGGAAAATTTGGTTCCCCCGAGTCCCGTCAAAGCTAATGATTGCTTCATATATCTTCGCTGCTTTGGCTCTCTGTATTATAAGGCTTTAGCTTGTTTACACATCAGAATTAAGGAAATGCTTACATTTTAAATGGTCGTTTCACAGGTGGAAGACTTGCATTGCAAACAATACCCTGTATGCGTAGTACAACTTCTTCTTGGCTGTTGTCCTCAATGTTGGTCTTTGTAAGCTTCCAACATCTTGGTTTGTCCACCTCCGCTACCAAGCAGAAATCTGACATTCCATTGACCTGTTATGGGGGTGTGAGTATCTGTTAATCTATAATGCTATACCACTGCTCACCATATTAAAGTATGCCAGTTGTACAACCTTTGCACCCTTCGTCGTCCTTGCATCTATGACGGCCTCAAGCAGATCACCTGGTATATAAAATTAGTGACTCTACACATCCACTTTAAGAGGGTACTTACGTGCTTCTATCTTGTTGTAAAATGAATCCATTGTAGTGAACAGTGACCTGTAAAGTGTTCCAACCACAGAAGGTGGGGTGGGTTCGATTCTCTTGGAGTTTTTGGTGGACTTACTGACAGATCTGCAGAAGTTGATGAGCCCTGACAATATATGGTGCGATAGCGTCGGATTACTTGGCTAGAAATTTTTCCGATGCATTTTGAATCCCTGTGGCGTTGTTTAGCTCAATATAATAATGACTAGAGGGTTTCAGAAATTACCAACCCATAGATTGTTGGAGTTTTTGGTAGACTTACCAACAGATCTGCAGAAGTTGATGAGCCCTGACAATATATAGTGCGATAGTGTCGGATTACTTGGCTAGAAATTTTTCCGATGCATTTTGAATCCCTGTGGCGTTGTTTAGCTCAATATAATAATGACTAGAGGGTTTCAGAAATTACCAACCCATAGATTGTTGGAGTTTTTGGTAGACTTACCAACAGATCTGCAGAAGTTGATGAGCCCTGACAATATATAGTGCGATAGTGTCGGATTACTTGGCTAGAAAATTTTCCAATACATTTTTAATCCCTGTGGCGTTGTTTAGCTCAATATAATACTGACTAGAGGGTTTCAGAAATTATCAACCCATAGATTGTTTGTTCCTCTCCATTGTTGTTGAACCCTGTTTGAAAATGAAAACATTCCTGGTCGTTAGTTAGCTTGTGTGATAACTTCATGAAAAACTGGGCTTTTACCTGTGCTGTCCTAATGCTGTATGCCTACCTTATTTGGCCATGCAGTTCTATATACAATGGTTTCTGAAAACCCTAACTGGTTTGGGGAACATCTGATGCCGCTAGTATACATTTGTGGCGTATATTGGTATATGCATATTC